GAAGCACCTTAGCTCTCAGTGCGACGTTGTGGCCACAAGGGCTATGTTTGGTTGATTAGCCACCATGATCCCCAAATCTAGTTCAGAGTCACTGCTTCCCAGGGTAGTATCCCCCATCATGTAAGTATGGCCTATATTCTTTTATCCTAGGTGTATACCTTTACATGTAGTTGTATTAAAACACATATTGCTTGCTTGCACCCAGCTTACTAAGTGATCCAGATTGCTCTGCATCAGTGATCTGTCCTCTTCATTATATACCACTCCCCCAATTTTTGCGTCATCTGCAAACTTTATCAGTGATTTTATGTTTTCTTCTAGATCATCAATAAAACTTGTAAATAGCATAGGACCAAAAAAGAATCCATGCAGCACCCCCCTAGAAACGCACCAATTTGATGATGATTCCCCATTTATAGTACATTTTGAGACCTATCAGTTAACCAGCTTTTAGTCCATTTATGTGTGCCATGTTAATTTTTTATATCTTTCTAGTTTTTTAACCAAAATGTCATGTAGTACTAAGTCAAATGCCTTATAGAAGTCTAAATATATTATATCAACATTAGTACCTTTAGCAACCAAACCTGTAATCTCATCAAAAAAGATAAGTTAGTTTGACAGGATCTGTTTTTCATAAGCTCTTGTTGACTGGCATTAAATATATTATCCTCCTTTAATTCTTTATTAATTGAGTCTCACATCAGCAGTTCCACTATCTTGCCTGGGATAGGTGTCAGATTGACAGGCCTATTATTATCCGTGTCATCCTATTTACCCTCTTTAAATATTGGCACAATATTAGCTTTTTTCCAGTCTTCTGGAATTTCCCCAGCGTTCCAAGACTTATTGAAAATCAGCATTAATGATCCAGCAATATCCTCACCCAGCTCTTTCAAACTTCTTGGATGGAATTTATCAGGATCTGCTGACTTTACAATGTCTAACTTTAGTAGCTGCTGTTTACCATTGCTCCCTGGAAAGCCTTAACATCTTTCTCGGCCCATTAGGTGTCAACGGATGCCCCACCTTCTTTCATAGTAACAGCCTTCTTTAATATGCACACAGCTTAAAACTGTAAACAATAATTACTTTAAACAGCTGTTGTGTCACTTTGTATGCAGATCCTTATTATTATACAAGTATCTGTATAAAGCATAGAAAAAAATAGCATACACAACATTTGTTTTTGGCCATTTTGCTGCTTAACCATACATCTTAAGTGACAAAACAATACAATGCCACCCAGGATCACCTGTCACAATCAGAGCCTTAAAGCTCACTTTTGTCCAGCTTTGTGTGAAACAAAAAAACTTCAAAAACAGACTCCAACGTGAAACTGCAGAACTAGAATTAATTTGCAAACTGGACACAATCAGATTAGGCCTGAATAAAGACTGGGAGTGCTTGGGTCATTACAAAACCTAAACCTAATTTCCCCAATACTGATTTCCCCCTAGTGTTACTCACACCTTCTTGTCAAGTTTCAGAGTAACAGCCGTGTTAGTCTGTATTCGCAAAAAGAAAAGGAGGACTTGTGGCACCTTAGAGACTAACCAATTTATTTGAGCATGAGCTTTCGTGAGCTACAGCTCACTTCATCGGATGCATACCGTGGAAACTGCAGCAGACTTTATATATACACAGAGAATATGAAACAATACCTCCTCCCACCCCACTGTCCTGCTGGTAATAGCTTATCTAAAGTGATCATCAGGTTGGGCCTTTTCCAGCACAAATCCAGGTTTTCTCACCCTCCACCCCCCCACACAAATTCACTCTCCTGCTGGTGATAGCCCATCCAAAGTGACAACTCTTTACATAATCAAGTCGGGCTATTTCCTGCATAGATCAAGGTTTTCTCACATCCCCCCCCACCCCCATACACACACAAACTCACTCTCCTGCTGGTAATAGCTCATCCAAACTGACCACTCTCCAAGTTTAAATCCAAGTTAAACCAGAACATCGGGGGGGGGGGGTAGGAAAAAACAAGGGGAAATAGGCTACCTTGCATAATGACTTAGCCACTCCCAGTCCCTTCTTGTCAACTGTCTGAAACGGGCCACTCTCATTTCCACTTCAAAAGTTATTTTTCCTCCCTTGGTATCCTGCTGTCAATTGAATTGTCTCGTTAGACTGACCTCACACTTGGTAAGGCAACTCACATCTTTTCATGTATTTATACCTGCTCCTGTATTTTCCACTCCATGCATCTGATGAAGTGGGTTCTAGCCCATGAAAGCTTATGCCCAAATAAATTTGTTAGTCTCTAAGGTGCCACAAGGACTCCTCGTTGTTTTTACATCTCCATCGTGCAGCAACTGATTGAGAGTTTCCTTGGCTTTTCTCATGCTATTACACATTTGTATGACATGAATACCTTTCGCTCTTACAAGAACTTTTAGGCTTAATGTTAAAGGACTAATATGTATATCAAGGGTGGGAATATATTATTGTAATTTCTCAGTTAAAACACTAATTGGTCTGGGTTTCACCTCAGGGCATTGCAACATCTTTGTAGATGATTGTGTACTTAATTATGCATCTGGTGGAAAGAAAGGTAACTAGCCTGTTACTCATAAGTTTATCATTTCCTTCCAACCCCTGGGATATCTTAAAGAATCAGGGATGGTCACAGGTATTCTCTGCTGTTGTAGTGGGTGTGGGTTGATCAGGAATGGGAGGTGACTGGTTCGTATGCTAACTATGTGTCATGGATTGTTTTATAGTCCACTATAGGAGTTGCTAAGGTTACATTATACCAGTCATGGGCAACCCGTGGGCCGCATGTGGCCTGTCAGGGTAATCTGCTGGCGGGCCACAAGACAGTTTGTTTACATCAACCATCCGCAGCTCCCAGTGGCCGGGAACGGCAAACCGCAGCCACTGGGAGCTATGGGCGGCAGTGCCTGCAGACAGTCAATGTAAACAAACTGTCTTCGTGGCCCACCAGTGGATTACCCTGACGGGCCGCAGGTTGTCCACCACTGCATTATACAGTTCTACATGTGTAATGCTAATTCCTAAAACACAGACACTCACAATGTCTGTGAAAAACTTCACTGCTTCTCCTTCCCCCACCACCAAGCACTTTATTTTAGCAAGAATTTTAGCTAATAACCAATGCATTTTTAACATAACTAAAGGAAAATAATATAAAACTTAAAACATTTTTTGTGGTGCACACTATTTTGGGGTCATAGCCATTATTATACTATTGTAACATCAATTAATTTTTTTTGCAAATGTCAGTTATAAATATATCTCCATGTATTTCTGCCTCAGTGAATAATTTAACTACAAAGTTTTTTTTTCTATGAATCAAAACTTTTTGTCCGAAGGAAGAAAAAACTATAAGGCAGAAACTTCAATATTAATGTAAAATAATATTAATAAGATCATAGCCTTTTCTTAAGTTGTATAAACTATTAAATTCTAATATAGCTATGAGTGTACTACAGACAAATACTGTATTTTGCTTGGCTAGTTATTCTGCTAATTGTTAAACCTAAAAATAATTTTTTTTTAAAGAAGTTTCTATCTTTTGTCATAACAAGTTTATTGGCCTTGAGGTAAGGTCATCCACAGCGGTGGGTAATTATATATCTCTCTTTGTATGGGCTGTCTAACTAACTATTTAATTAATAAATCATCTTTGATTGGATTTATCTAAAGTCTGTCATTATTAAATAAATCTCAGCTCAAGGGAACATTACTCATTGAACCTATAATCACAATTAAAATTGTTATTGATTTTTGGTTATTGATTCCTGACAAATTATGGATAATTGATTATTGACTATGAACAAGGAACCCAATAGGCAGCTATTGATTGGTCTGGCAGGGTGGAATCATGATCTGCCTGCCAGAAGTAGGACTAAACAGTATCAAGGATTGGAGTCTTGCTAGGATGTTCACAGCACCGCAGCACACCCTGTTCACAGGCTTTCAGATCCATTTCTATATTGATACATATGTGCATATCAGAACAGAATAAATAAATGGAACACCACTTTGGGGTTAATATCAGAACATCGGCAGGCTGGACACAGACTGTCAAACTACAGGAAAGGTCTTCCATAGCCGTTGGTATTTGTGTGTGTCATTGCGCATGTGCTGTCTTTGCTAACTATTGGATTAATAAATCCAATCAATGCTGACTTATTTGAGTTCTGTTACTCTTAACCAAATCTGAATTTGAGAGCCTGCCATTCATTAAATATATAAACGCAATTACAATTCCTGTCAGTTACTGACTGCTGATTAACTGGTTATTGATTATTGACAAGTTGATTATCAACATCCCTGAAGCAAAGGAGAGGGGAGATCATGGGGAGCACTCCTGTCCTCAGCAGAGGAGGGGGAGCTGCACTCCACCTTTCGTCTGCCCCGCCCATGACCCATTAAGCCCCATGGGCACCACAGGGGGGAGGGTCTAAAGAGCAGAAGGGAGTGGGACGAGCATGAAGCAAAGCTACTTCTATATCTCCCAGCTGGTGTCTGACAGCTTTGGCTCCCCTTGGCCAGTGTCAATGGGACAGGAGAATCCAGGCCCTGTGTTTGGATTTGAAGGAATCTTTCCAGTGATTTGAATATAATGGGATCAGTAAAGCAGGCAGTCCTGACCAGTGATGTTACAAGCAGAAGGCCCTGCTTTGCAGGACTTGGATCGCCGAAACTTTTCATGCTGGTTTATATCATGGTGCTAGATCCGTGTAAAACTGATTAAATCATGTACAAGAGTGCACTCCCTTTGTTGTTGGTCCTAACTTGACCTTTTTCCAGGGAACTGATTGAGCAATAAGCATGTGGGTGATGGGGACAGCTTATTGGAGTACCAGGCTGACAAGCTGAACTATAAGGAGTAGTTTGTCTTTACAATAAGAGTACATTTGCATAGCACATTGCTGACTTGTTATTTCTCTTAAAATACGTTACAATTGCCTTTTGTGAGGTGAGCTTATATTTACTGTTTGTTTGTTTTTGTTTTTTTACAGCCCCAACAGAGGCTTCTCCATAAACACTACCAGCCTCTAAAGCTTCTGTCCTGCCAGGTGATATGAAAGTGAACTTTACTTCGTGAAAAGCGTAACAAATGACACTGCCAGAAGGTGACCATGGAGAATTGAAAGATTAACTGAAATACAACCATTCAGTCAAGATGATGCATTCCGGAAAGTCTGGTTTGCTGTGGAATTAAAATGTGGTGCATAAAATACAGTGCTAATTTGTTCAAAATGGTCATTGACAGACCATTAGCTGGAAAACTGTTTCCAGTTTTCATCACTGTGCATAACTGTGAGTTCCCTTTAGGGGACTATCTGTGCCCTTCACTGGAAGTCCTGTTTTAGCATGGCAACTACTGGATTATTTTATTATGTATGCAGATGGCATGATGATGTTTTAGGAAAAACTTACAGCAGTCCTCCAACCTCCATAAAAATGTTCACAATATTACACCCCCGATAGGAATGTAAATGTCTTGTATATGTTAGTTATGCAGTCTAATGGTATTCTGTTTAACTATATGTGATCTCCACACAGAAGAGTTAGCACATTCTATACATGTCAGGAAAGGTATTTTCTTTATTTCAATACTAAAATATGTTTCAGTACCTACACTGAGACTGTATCTAAAATAGAACCCGTACTTGCTTATATTCACAGATTCATGGGAGATTGCATAGATAGATTTGCTCATGGCAAGTATGCACTAGACATATTTTATTGAGACTTATTGAACAGTTCTCATGGAGGTAGCCAGGAATAGGGGATGTTGAATGGACTATCGGATATTGTGTCTGCTGTCCCCCGCCCCCACCAATAAACCAAGCAGTCCACATTTCTGTTGTGCTAATGTAAAGTTCCCATTAAATTGTAAAGGAAAAGATCCCTTCTCTGAGATGCATTGTGCCTATGGCTTCGGTCTGCATTAAACACAAGAGAGACTGGAGAAATTCTGGTACTTCTGCTAATCACTATTTGGTGCGGGGGAGGGAATCACAACTTGCAGAGTCCGAACAAAACCTCTTGAAGATAATAAAGAGTGAGAGGTGGACTAGATGCTCCCACTCTGTACGACTCCTCATAGAGGACAGATACCTCCATTAACATTTCCTCCTCTTTCTACCCAAAACACTTTTTTTTTTTTTTTTTTTTTTAAACTCTGAACTGGGGTTAAGGTAAATGGTTCTAATAACCCTTTGGGCATTTTGTAGCAGGCTCAAGACTGTTGCATTCAAACTGAGCATTGTTATTTGTTGTTCAGTCTCTGAGTGGCTGACATCACGGGTTGTGTCACAGCTGGCTGTGGTACAGTTTTTATCCACGGGGACTTGCGGGAAGTACTTTTCATCCCACCCCTCACATTGGGACCTATTTGAAACAGACTATTTACAATGAAGTAAATTAAATAGTCAGCAGCATCACAAGGGACCAGCCTGGTGGTTCTTACAGTTCGTAAATGAAAGATGGCACTTTGGGTAGCCACAGAACATCTTTCTCTCCAACCTAACGGACTAACACTTAGTCCATCTGCCAAACCTGTAGAGAGCCTTCCATGTCGGAGACTTAGATACCAACAGTGGAGAGAAGATGAATCTTCATGGGATAACAGTAAGACAAAGGGATATTTTTGAGGGATTTCATGTGGTACACTTTTAGAAGCTATTCTATACACTACTAGTGATTGTAAGATCAACCAGTTAGAGCACCAGTGCACCCAAAGTGTATATTTTTGGCTTTGTCAGATGGGTGTCGATTTATGTCAGAACTTTTCACCCATCCCTGGTATGCAAACAATATATATACTTTTTGGACAGTTATAAAAAAAAAATTAGGATCAGCATGTTGGCTACTGTATAATATCAATTTAGAGCACAATTACAGTTAGTTATGGCCAAGATTTTCAGAATTGTCTCGTGATTGTTGGGTGCTTAACTTGACACCTTAAGGGAGCCTGATTTTCAGAAAATTCTGAAAACCAGGTCTCTCTAAAGTTTCTCAAATTGGGCATCCAGAACTTTCGGGCATCCAGAATCACAAGTCACTCTTGAAAATTGTGGCCTTTAATTTAGATTGGTTAAAAAAACTCCAATAAAGGCATAAGAATAATATCCTCTCAGTGCAAAGTTGCTAGAGCAATACTTTAGCAATGTGTACTTTTTATAGTTGCCCATAGTATTGCAAGTTGACTTTTTTCGAAATTGGTCATGTGCATTGCAGAATTTCACTAAAAGTTTTAGCACATTTTATAACCCTTTGCTATTGTTCTGATTTAGAATGAATTCTGGGAACTGAGATCTGTCATTTTCGTAGGTCACTTACATTACTATTGCTGTTTAAAAAAAACTTTCTTGGTTTGTTTAAAACAAAACAAAAAGAGAGAGAGATACTTATATGTTAAGTATCCTCTTTTACTATACTCAAGTTTATTACATAGTGATACATTCTAGAATAATTCAAATGATAAAGTTAAGATTGTCACAGATCATTATACTATATGGGCGTGAGAGAAAAAGATTAGTTAGGTAAAATGTTTTTATATCAATGTTAGTTTTAAACGTCTACTAGTACATGGGCATGAACTTAGATGTCTGAACTAATCCGCTTAAAACAGTTTGTTTTAAATGATTCCCGGGGTTTAGTTAGGAGGATCTGGGAAACACAGTGTTAGGGGCACTGAGAAATGTGAAAATAAGGGCCAAGTCCTGGTCTAACTGAATTCAGTGGAGTTTTTCCAGAGATTTCAGGAGGCCACTGTTTGACACTATGCTTGAAACTTACTTAGGCCTCAGTCCTACAAAGACCTATGCACGTGAAAGACTTCAAGCATAAGGATTCTCCCACTCACGTGTGTAAGTGTTTACAGGAACAGGGCCATAAGGAGCTCACTGTATGTTTGATTTGTATTTAACTAGTAACCACGTTTAATCACTGTTACTCTCCGAAAATAGGCCATGCTTCCTCAGGGATATTTATGGAATTATTATACATCCGATGAACAATTGTCTCAATCCCAACACATTCCTCTGAAAAGTGTGTAATATAAATAAGGGTAGGAAGGGGGTTACATTACTGTGAACGGAGCGGAGTACTGTGTTGTGTGAGAGGCTATGGAAAGCTTTCATGTTTTTATGCTGAACACCTTATTAATAGCAGACCCCCTCCACTTTTCCCTGGGTCCCAAGAATAGATCCATGGAAAGAATGCTCTGTTTATAGTCATAATTAATTTACAGCAAGGGTGCCAAGACTAAGCCAACATGAAAGGTAAGGAATAAATTCATTCCTGCAAAAGGAAGTGAATTTAAATATGCTCATAGCCATTAGTTCTGTGCAAAAGCAGAGTAGGAGACTAATGCCATTGTGTTAGAATAGCAGCCCTATGGAGGTAGGGGTGTGTGTGTGTGTGTGTGTGTGAGGGAGAGAGAGAGATGGTGGTTAATTTAACAATGTGGGCGGGTGGGTGTGTACTTTGCATTATCACACAGTATCACCATTAAATTTACCACTGTGATGCTGGCAATTGAACTACCACAGACTTGACTACTACCTCTAAAATACGGGTAAACAATAATAGTATCACTAGCAGAATACTCCTATCTCAGCACCCAGTCCTGCAGCCTTGCTCCCATGAATGGTCCGATTGCCTGCTACCCTTATTCACCTGGACCCATATGTGAGTAAAAGCTGCAGCATCAGACCTTCACTAAGGAGTTTTCACAGAGGCCAAGCCATCTTAACTACTTCAGATAATGTCTTTTCTTATACTAGGAGGGCAAAGGAATCACCAGCCTACATAGGAAACTATACTACAGACGAAAATACGTTGTGTGCTTTTTTTCCCCTATTTTTAGCTGTATTGCTTGCTTTGTCTGCAACTGTCACTTAATTGATTTGTTAAGAAAGATAAAGACTTACAGGCAAGAAGCTTGCAAAAGCTCTATTAGTGCTTCGGTTTTGCCAATCCAAGTGCATTAGCAGGTTCATTCTTCGCACTATTTCCTCTCTATTTTTAAGAGTAATTTTGTGACTTTACAACTAGACTTAAAGCAGCTGCAGACTATTTTAAAGAGAGGTTAACCTTTGAGAGTGACATAATTCTTTATTCTGTAAGGGCTGTGGGGCAGATCCCCAGCTGGTATAAAACAGCAAAGCTTCATTGAAGTTGTTGTTCACTGATTTATGCGAGCGGTAGATCCAACTCCATTTTGCTGGTTTTTCTTAAAACAAAATAACAAAAACACTAGATAGGTCAATTATTCAAAAATTGCTCACATATGGAAAAAAAAAATCTTGCATGTTTTACCTCTGTACTCTTATAACAAATACTATCTTTGTAAACTCAGTCTCAATGAAAGCCCTCAATACCTGGCTATGGTACAATTGGCTCTCATCTCTAGACTGTGATCAATATAAGATTTTAATTTAAAAATAAAAGGGTCCTGTGGTTTAATGAGGGTTGATAGAGCCAAAGAAGCAAGGTTGCTGTTGACATTATCAACAGTAAACTTTGGGAAAGATGTTTTGAATACAAAACACCCCAATACATAACAAATGGAAAAACAGGGAATCTCACATCAATGTGTACAAATCAGAATTTAAGATATGCAGATGATTGATAAGAGAAGCTAAAGGTATCAACGAAAAATCTTTGGTCAGTAGTGTTAAGGATGATAAGAAGGAATTCTTTAAATATATAACGAACCACTGAAATCTTAGCAAATTATCTAGGTCCAATACTAGCCAAATATGGTAAAACTATCAATCCTCGTGCGGGACAGGCATAAGTATTCAACAAATATTTCCGTTCTGTGGTCAGAAAGAAGCAGAAGAGTGTAGTCAGATCTTACAGTGATAATTAAATACTTTCTATTCCACCAGTCACTAGAGAGAATGTTAAACAGCATGTATTAAAGATAAACAGTTTAAAAGTTTGGGACTGGATAACTTATACCCAAGTGTATTTAAAAAATTTACTATGGAGCTCTCTAAATCATTAATGTTGTGGTTTTGTTTTTAAACAAATTTTACAACACTGGGGAAGTTTCAGAGAACTGAAAAAAGACTAGTGTTGTGCCTGTGTTTAAAAAGAGTAAATGAGATGACTTGGGACACTGTAGGCTGGTTATCATAACATCTATCCTGGGCAAAATCATGGTCAGGTTGATGTGGAATGCTATCAGCAAAGAATTTTTAAAATGTTTGCATAATTAATGCTAATCAGCATGGTTTTATAGAACTTGTCAAACAAATTTGATATCATTTTTGTGAAATGACAAGTTTGCTTGACAAGGTAACTATTTTGACATAATATACTTAGATTTCTGTAGGTAATTTGACTTAGTCCTGCATTGTATGAAGTGTAGTTGTAGCCGCGTCAGTCCCAAGACATTAAAGAGATAAGGTGGGTGAGGTAATGTCTTTTATTGGATCAACTACTGTTGGTGAGAGAGTGAGCTTGTCTCTCTTTACCAACAGAAGTTGGTGCAATAAAAGATATTAACTCACCCACCTTGTCTCTCTTAGTCTTCTTGCATAACATTCTGATTAAAAATAGCCCAAAATCAATGTAGCTCATATTAAATGGATTAAAAATTGGTTAACTGACAGATTTCGAAAGTAATTGTAAATGTGAAATTGCAATCCATTGTGGGTATTTCGAGAGGGGATCTGCAGGGATCATCTCTTGGTCCAATGTTGTTCAATATCTTTATCAATTATCTGGAAAAAATATATAAAATGTAAAATTTACAGATGACACAAGAATTGGTGGAGTTGTGAATAATGGCATGACCTGGATCTCTTGGTAATATGGTCTCATTTGAACAACATGTGTTTTAAAACAGACAAATACAACATCATCATCTAGAAACAAGGAATGCAGGTCACACTTATGAGATGGGGGGACTATATCTTGGAATGTAGTGACACTAAAAAAGGATTTAGGGGTTATGAATGGAAATTGCTATAAGAATGATTTGAGGGCTGGGGAAAAAGGCCTTAAACTGACAGAATAAAGACACTCAATCTGTTCAGTTTATTGAAGAGTAGGTTAAGAGGTGACTTGACCATGGTCAACAAGTACCTACAAGGGGAAGAATTTTCTGATGGCAGGGAGCTCTTTAATCTAGGAGAAAAAGGATATAACAAGATCCCATGGTTGGAAGTTGAAATTAGACAAATTTATACTAGAAATAAGCAACAAATTTTCAACAGTGAAGGTAATTAACATTTGGAACAACTTACATAGGGATGTGGTGGATTCTCCATCACTTGAACCCTTTAAATCAAGTCTGAATGCCTTTCTGAAAGATATGCTATAGCTCATACAATGTATGGGTTTGATGCAGCAATTATTGTTTAAGGTTCTTTTGTCTGTAGTAAGAGGATGGGTGAGGGGCTTATAAGTACCTTCAGAGACTTACTCAGACAGAATTCTATTGATTTTAATGTGTTAGCTTACAGTAGTAGAAATACGTATGCAGATGGACTTTGAGATAAATGTCAGTGGGACTGCTTGTAAAGGAGGGTAAGACTGAACATGATTGAAGGGGACAGAACTGGATCCAAAATGACTATTAAAATAGAAGAAGAAGTCTGTGTCCTTCTACAAGTAACACCTCGGGGCCAAATCATGCACTCAAATCATTGGCTTCAGTGAGAGTTTTGTCTGAGTAAGAAGTAAGAACGGCAGAGTTTTGGCACTGGATTAGGAAAGTAGTATTCTACAGGAAAGAGAAACTTTCTCTGCCTGTACATTCTGAATATTTTTGTTTTGGAAAAATTTTAAAATTTTTATTGAAAATTAAACTTTTTTAATTTGTGGGTTTTTTCATTTTTATATTTGATTATTTAATGATATCAGTCGTACTCACTACCGATGTCATTAAATAATAACAGTACTACTAACATGTCATATTGTGACGACTCAAAATCTATATTTTATTTTTAAAATCATTAAGCTCTGCCGCTATTCAGTGCTGATTAAAACATCATCTCTTCTTTTCTTCAGAGTGTCTCCTGTTTGTGTTGTATTGAAGCAGTGTGACACTTTGAACAAGAAGATAGGCACTCCGTGTACTAATTAGAGGAGCAGATGTTTTCAATAGCTTTGTGTTAGCCTGGAATCATTTTTCTAGGATATTGTCAATAGCTGCTCCTCTAATTAGTAAAATAAGAGAATACTGTGACTATTGAATCTTGACATGATATGTCATGTTGTGCACTTCTACTATTGATGTGTCATGAAATACTTTTATTTTTACATTAACATAACACTGAAAAATTTAAAAATAAAATTTTGAATTAAAAATTTTGTTTTGAAACGAAGTTTTGAAATTTTTCCAAAACAAAATTTTCAAAGATTTATTTTCATATAGAAAATCATGTTTTCTGTTGGAAATTTTGTTCAAATAGATGCAAGTTCACCAAAAACTTGGATTAGTCAAAATGGCATTTTCTGATGGAAAACTGTTTTGACTAAAATTTTCTAACCAACTTGAGCAGTAAGCACACCAACTTTACCAGTAAAAAAGCTTTTGCATGATTCACCCCTTATAGTTGGTCATTTTGAATTTTGGTACTTTAAAAATAAGTAACAGAGCACTCCGTTTCTGATGGCAGTTTCACAAAACAGTGTTTTGATGGGAGTACTATAAGCAGAGGCTTTAATACCTGCCTTTTACAGGTCTTCAGTATTCTGGGGGGAAAACAGGATATATGTTGTTTAGAATAGACAATAACTAAACTCAGCCAAAGAAAAAAAGCAAAGTATTTACATTTAACTACCAGAAGGTGATGTAGGCAGACTGGTGTTGAAAACCTTCACCAAAAAGCAGGGCTAAAACCGAGAACCTAGACAAGAAGGTAAAGATCTTTTGGATTCTTGCTGTAATCCAACATAAAAAGAAATTAGTTTGGGTTAGATTTACTCCTTAAAGAACACTAGCCCACATCAGTCAGCCATGGAATGAATTTCACGCAGTCACTAGCTTACGTTTGTGATAGCTTATAAGCATCTTCAGTATTCTGAACAACCTTGCAGCCCGCAAAGGAGAACTGTCCTTAAAAGGTATGTTTGAGGTCATAGTTTGGACAAAGAAAGGAGCTGATGTTGCAGATGGCTGTATAATGACAGCTTCTGCTCTAAAAGCAGGATTTTGAGCATTATTATACAACATCCAGGCTTAGCTTGAGAATGAGAAGTAAAGCTTCTTTCTGATTTTTAAGTGAAGAATATGCACCGAATACATCTAAAAAATTCCACTGTGCAGCTATTGTTGCACATCTAATCATATTATTTCTATTAAACACTTGCAGTGAATTCATCTATTTAATTTGGTGGCTAATGACATTAAATAGCTATACACAAATTTTTAGCAAAGGGAGATCGATACTGTAGCAAAACTGCATATGAGCAATAAAAAGCTGTGTAGAGAAAAATATTGATCCACCAGGTTGAATGCTTGGGGGTTTTGTTTGTCTGGAGCATGCATTTATACATCCGTGCAGAGGATCTCCCTTATTGAGCCTGGCTCTGATCTCAAGACTAGTGCAGATGAAGGGATGTTTAAAGTCCTCTTATTTTACCACCTGATCCTCATTTGCTATATCCAGTAGCTGCTATTTCTATGTTATTCTTCTGAGAAGGGTGGAAGAGAGATCTGAGTGACCTCCACTAAGATCAATGCCATGCCTTAAGTATGTGATCTTCCAACCACTGCTAAAAATCCTGTCACAGGAGGTACTCATTTATAACCCTTCTCCCTCCTGCAAATAGGCTTCAGCTCCACTGACCCAGATAAGAGAGAGAGGGAGAATCTTGTGCCATGCTGTGAACAAGCTTACATCTTAGTCCTGTAAGACCTGAATGAAAGTTAAGGGCACTCAGCACTTTGCCCAATCAGACGCTAGCAGTGTAAATCCCCTGATTGCTAGAGGCCATTGAAAGTTTGAAACTGACAAGTTGAGGGCCACAGAGAACAAGTTAGCTGCACTCTTTTGATGAGTTATTACTGTATATTGGGCTCAACTCAAAATTAAGATGAAATGCACAGCACAATATCAGACAATGTGAAGTAAATGAATGACTGTGCTCCCTTTAAGATGGGACATAATCTGCTAAGGATGGCTTCTCTTATTTTGCATTAAGCCACTAGGAAAGAAAAATGCTATGAGTAAAATAATTAATTATCTACCTTTTCATGGCATTTCAGAATCGGGAAAAAAAACAAGCTAGCATTCAACATTAAGATTTCACACACCCCAGTAATTAGCATGGTATAATGCTAGCATTTCCTCCAATACTGAAATATTAGGTCTGATCTCATTATACTCAATGGAAAGATGCTTGTTAACTTCGGAAAGCATGGCATCAGGCCATTTAATCTTTTGAAGACTCTAGGTATTTTTAAATCTTGACTTTCTTTTTTGCACTCACAAATAAATGTGAAGGCAGTTGTTTGCAGGTAAAAATGAAAGCATGTAGACATGAAACTACTTGATCACTCCTACAAACTAGGCAAGGTAAGCCAAAATGTTAAAAGTAGCCTCTAATTTTGGGTACCTCTGTTTTTAGCAGCTCAACTTCGGGACCTTGGCCCTGATTTTTAGAAACGCCGAACACCCACTGCAGAAATTTAAGTCAATGGCTTATTATATCCAAGGTGTGTTAAACTGATCAACCAAAAAATCCATGGCCCTTTTCAGAATTTGGCTGCAGGCCTGACCTCATTTGCATTCACAAATAATGGCACTGTCAGTTGTTTGTGAATGCACATTTCAGACACAGAAAGGTAGGCAAGGTTAGTTCCTTTGAAAATCATGGGCTAGATCTATAACAGGGGAATGGGATGCGAGGGAGGTGAGGTTCTATGCTCAGTGTTTTTGCTGGAAGTCAGAGTAGATGATCATAGTGGTCCCTTCTAGCATTGAAATCTATGAATCCTCAGCTGGATTCAGCTGAATCGCTGTCGCTCCATTGATTTCAATGCCAGTTTGCACCAGTTGAGGATTTGGCTCCAGGCCCTTAATTTCCTCTTAAGTATATACATGGCTGACAGTCTGAAAAATGCTAGCACACTAAGGGTCAATGAGTTGTTTTACTCAAAGGTCTCAGTGAAGAGCAGTTCCTGCCAGCACTAAACTTTTTAAAGATAGAGCCAAATAAGGTGGCATAATCAAGAGTGTGCCTTTTTGTTGGATGTACACTGTTTCTTCCCAGGCACCCAAGGGGTTAATCTGTAGCGCAGTTCATTTTTTCTCAAAACACAGGAATCATTGTACAATCCAATTCTGAGTGGCTGTCAATGTTAATTCCACTTGATTGTTTTTATATTTCCTCTGTTTTCCAAAGTCAACAAAAAATAAAAAAATTGGGGGGATGAATTGTTTTAATTATGAAATTAAAATTACTATCAAGTTTTTGGTATCTTTGGGCATGATATCTGGAAGCTTTGGAAATCTGCTTTATCATTTTGTATATCGGACAATTTTGTACTCTGCATTGTTTGACTTCATTTGTGCATGGCAATGTAATTAAAATATGGAATTTTTACTCTAGTGTAAAGTGTTTTGTTTGATTTAAACAAATCCAAAGCTTGATACTGCTTGCATTGAAGCCGAGGAACCAAAAAAAAAGAAAAAAAAAGTGAGCAGGACCAAAACCCTATTAATGAAAATTGTCACACTAACTTGATTTAAAAACAGGAAAAAATATTCAGATTCCGACTTAACAATAAATCCCAGCAAAATAAGTATTTTCATCTAGATTTCTCCCCATCATTAATTTTGTAGAAGGAAAATCAAAATCAAAAGCCAAAATTTGACTGATCTACATTAGTCAGTTATATGCAAAAGTCAGCAAAAAACAATTCTCAGAGATAAATTGCTCACACTTATGATGTACCTTTCCCAAAGAATCCCTAAAACCACTTGTGAAGTGGGTTGGTAGGCTTGGTGCAGTTGCTTCGGACAAGTGTTCACATCATAAAAACCACCATCGCTTCTGGCTTAGGGCAAGAGGCCAAAGGCATGAAAACTAAACCACACTCACTTTTTGACTCCAGCAAGCAGTTCTTGGGTTGAATTTTTTGGTGAGAAGAGGAAGCTTGCGATGCCACGTCCCATACTTTACCTGTCCTGTGGTTAGTTGACTATGTTCTCAGGGTCTGTCAATCCTCCAGGAGACAGATGTCACATAAAATTATCCTAAATAATTTGTCGGACAACAATATTACAATCACCACTTGCTACTTAAGGAAGGTGCTGCTGGCCAGTGGCTAGAACTGCATATTGGAAGACATGAAACTCCTGTGTTCTATTCCCAAATCACCCAATTCATTGCAATTCAATTTTGAGGACCTCTCTCCAGTTCAGTTTCCCCATCTGTAAAATGGGTCAATGTATTATTTATCTGCCTGACAGGAGCATAGTTTAATGAATGTCTGGAAAGTGGTTTGAGATCCTTAAATAAAGGCACCGTATAACTGTGAAGTGTTCTTACACATAATAAAGAGAACCAATAAACACCATGGGCTACATTCTGCCCAGAATGACGCTGATGTAAATCCAGAGTAATTCTGTTGAATTCAGTAGAGTGACTCAGGATTTACTGCAGCATAACTGACAGCAGAATCTGCTAAAGATGAGAAGTGAACAATTTTTTTCAAGAGGCATTTGTTTTCTAGAGTTATGGTATATGCTTGTAGGAGTTTATAGGTTTCTTCTAAAGGGATGAAGCCACAGAGAAAAGACTTGCTGGATTGTTTATTGTTTTATGATGCATACCCTTTACTCCCGATTTATTCTATGCTATGAGTTAAGTCATTTATTGGTATGTCAATAAATTAGAAGCACACTGTCACGGTGGTTTTTAAGCACTAACTATTAATTGTTAGGATGCCCATGCACACTCTGCTGCCTGCAGTGTACCTGTTTTATGGATTAAGAGTGAAATTCACCTCTGTACAAAGGGCAGAGGATTCAGCCCATATTGAAAAGTAATCTGGCACATTTTACAAGCACTAACCATACTGTGTATAAGGAAGAAGTTTAACCAAAATGTATTAAATCACTTGATCTAGGGAAGTGAAAAGTAACACTGAAATTCTAGGGTGACATTATGGCCGAATATACCTACAATTGGTTAGTCTCTAAGGTGCTACAAGTACTCCTTTTCTTTCTACAATTTCTTAGTAAATTGTCATTTTGACAGCTCAAATTTTTCAACCTTAATTCTGAATTTCCTTGCTTTTGTAAGGCTTTAAATTAAAGAAATAGGTTAGTCGAACATAGATTTTGGGACTTAATACAGAGGTTACTGAGTGGAAGTCTATGGGCTGTGTTGTACAGGTCAGACCAAGTGATCATCTAAAAATCTATGTCCATTAGTAGTTTGTGGTATGTGTCTTTGTTGGGCTGCAATTTGCTGTGTTCTTTTTTTCATCCTTTAAAAAGTCCCTCTGTGCCATAATCTTCACTAGAGAGGAGAATGTGTTCACAGAAAAGCTCAGTTCTGCTGTAAAACTCTCCCCATTGTATCCCAGGCCAATAGAAATCAAAGCCACTGAGAAGATTAAGTAATACCATTTAATAGCTCAGTGGTTTGAGCATTGGCCTGCTAAACCCAGGATTGTGAGTTCAATCCTTGAGGGGGCCATTTAGGGATTGGGGGCAAAAATTGAGGATTGGTCCTGCTTTGAGCAGGGGGTTGGACAAGATGATCTCCTGAGGTCCCTTCCAACCCTGATATTCTATGATGGCACTAGTCTATGATGGCACTACACACTGTTGTTATCACAGTCACTGCCTCCACTGTGGCTACAGCATCGCCATTTTATTACCACTGTAGGTGCAGCACACCCTTGTTCTTTCCATAGTAAATATGTCACTCTATTCAGATCCGCTTTACAACGAGACAGCAGTTATTGTGTGATTGAAATATTAGCCCCTGAAGAAACAGAAAAATAGACACTGATGCTTTGGAACAAGGAACTTCCATGTTAGTTCACAGGGATTTTGTGTTATAAATTTTACCAGCGGGGTTGCACCTGTGTGTCAGCTAATACAGTGATTAGTAGGAAGTCACTGGTGGAGTGAGTTTGTTTCAGTGCCTATCCCTTTCTTTTAATTTTACATTAAGTAACCAACTAGTCCTTGAAGTGAACTATGCTTCCTTACATTATTTTTGTGACTTCCTGGTGCTCATGAAAGACTGATCTAACATGAGAGACTAATCTAATACTATAGGCATATTATGGTCAAGGGCAATGTATCGCCACCGATGACTATTAATCTTTACCTGCTGTTTTATTCCTCCTGGGACCTCTAGACTCCAACTCAGAAAAACTATTAAGCAAAGCATTGAATATGTGTTTAAGTGCTTGTTGAATAGAGAAGGATTGAAGCACGTTTAAACGAATCAGGGCCCGACTGAGCAGAGAGTGACATTTGCAAAATTTGGAGTGGGGTGTCTTATGTCCCTACGGGGCTAGTTGTCTAGTGAATGGGGTACAGGCCTGGGAGATTTGGGTCCTATTCCCAGGTCTGCTAATAACTTACTGCATAACAACGGGCAAGTTATTTTGATTTACTCTCTCCATGCCTCAGCTTTCTATCTGTAATGGGAATAATATTTACCTATCCTTGGAAAATCCTTGAGATTAAAAGAAACTGAAAGGGTGGCGATTTGTGTTTTGATTGCTATCACCTGTGTGACTTACAGTGGACTTGGTCCTGGCTCCCCATCCAGAGGAGAAAAGCTACCACTGTGCTGCTGAGTGCCTGACTCTGAAAGGTGAAGGGTCAGTTGTTACCCAGGTAAGGGTGAGGTGATTGATGGGGATCCCATCACGTCTCTTTGTGGTACCAAGGTATTCCTGTCTGATGGAAGAACTAAGACAAGTTCTTAGAAGGCTTGCATAGTGAAGCACCTCATTAGCATGGTGAGGGTGACACTCACGTCTGTCTCTCGTCAGACATGCCCATTCCCTGACCACCTGTTTGCCATACGTATTTGTGACTAATGGAGCAGGCATATGAGGAGGGAGGAACTAGTCCTTAACCGTGTTTGAATCCACATGCTAGAGTGCAGCAACACTTTGTACCCAGTTCCACAAAGACTGGAAGGATCAAGGCTGGTATTCCTTCTACTAATTTTAAAAGTGAGAGCCGCAGTTTCCCTCCCCCCCTACAAAGTTGCAGCCTGATCAGAAAAATCACTCTCACTTCATGTGGGAATTTTTAATGCCGCGAATAGGTGAAACCCTCCGGGGCACGTAATAAGTCTCAGCTTATCACCCTCCTCTGGTTCGTTCCAATGAGAGACTGGTAATTGTGTGGTATAGACTAGGTTCTGGGGCTGGGGGCAGCAAACAGGCTTCATGGGGGCTGAGGCCATGCAGCTCTCCACAGACTGTTAACTGGGAGGGCAGCTCTAGCTACACGGGTGGCAGTATGGAAAATGTTGAGAACCACTGTACTAAGCTGACTGCCTCCTTTAAACACTTCTATTTAACTGTAAGATTTGCCAATATGGAAAGCGCGGCTGTTAGTATTTGCACATCTCTGCCCCCGATGCAGGAGGGCCAGAGAAGCTACTGCCTCTCATTGTGACTGCCATAAATGTCAGTGCTTTGGGGAAAACAAAACAGTTATTTCTGCCTTAGCTTTAGGTCACAGCATGAAGGATACTGCGCTCCTTATGCAAAATATGTTTGTACATATCACTCTTGACTCATCCTGGGTTTGGGGGTTTTTGGCAATTCTGAGGAAAATAAAACTTTGTCAGAAATTTGAGCAATTGTGAAAGCACATGGGCTCCAAATTTATAACTCCACCTGGTGATAACAGCTGTTCATTTTTACTGCTATGAGGGGAAAAAGCTTCTTTTCCCCAGGAGTTTTACACAGCTGGCAGACAGCACTCTATTTAGGCTGCTTTTATTAAGTTAAGCAACATTAAAATTGTTCATTTAGCAGCAGGGATGCTGTTTTCTTCATCCTCCAAACCTGAAATTTGGAGATGTCCTTTTGCTAATCCGAACAAAGGTAGGATTTACCTCTGTCCTCCACTAGCATCTAGAGATAGGCCTATGGTGACTGCAGTGCATATGATCTGCTATCACAGGGACCTGTGATAAATAATTTAATAAATTAATTATTTAATACCTAGGCTCACTTGATTCAGTGATTGGAGTAAGATCATCCCTTCTGCTGAAATTTGGAGCGATCCTTCTAATGGCATTCTGCTAATCCAAAACTGAACTCAGGGAAGTATGTGTCTTATATAGTGGCATAGAATGGTATAGAACATTGCATGCATATTCTATGAACATTGTCGTGATGATGATAATCGGTCACAAAAAGTGTTGCTTTCTTTTCGTACTGAGCAAGGAACTTGATTAGAAGGAGAACAGTATTATCCTTCAAACTCCTTTCTGTTTCACTGTAGAGCTTCTGTCTAGAATCTTCACCAACTCCCATCCTGCCTTTGATCCTGCTACAGATGTGAAGAACCAGTACACATATCCTCACAAATGTAGGTTTGGGATGGGTGTATTA